TAAACTCAATTAACCATCTTTTCCCATGTTTGAAAGGACGTTTTTTACTCTGTTGTAGCTAGTGGACCTTGATTTCTGTTGCTGGGAAACCTGGATGACTCTTTTAGTCCTCATGGAAATTGTACTTAATGTAATCACTTTGGCCGAGTCCTTATTGGCTGTTGGCTAGATGCCAGCTCAAGGAAAGTTCACCTCAAGCCCTTGCAAGGTAGACTGGTAGTGGAAGCTGTCCTAGCCTGAGGGGGCATGGTGGAAATGCTTCAGGGGCTTCCTGGGGGTGGGAAAGAGTGGGGCAAGGGCAGTACCACTTTCTTCTTCAACAGAATTATTCCACATTGATCTGCTTCAATGTTAGACTCCATTTGAAAAAAAAATGCTTCACTGGAAGAGAGAGCAAATTTATCTATAAAAAAAGCCCTAACCAATTTACCAAAAAAAAATTTGAATCTCTGAGAAGTGACTTGCCCAAAGTTGCACAGCTCATAAATACCAAGGCTGTGGATTAAGCTGCTGCTTCTGACTAAATTGCTTTCCATTATCTCACACTTCCTGTTACTAGGACTGAACACACAATATAGCCACACATACAATAGCAGTGTTTAAAGATAATATGAGATATCATGAACAATGATCCATGGTAATGGATTTGTGAAGTTTGACAAATGGATGATTTCGTAAAACAGTGCTAGCACAGTATAGTCAGCTAACCGGTCAGTGAGCTATTTGTTACCAGCCTGCAATGAAGTAAGCACAGAAATTGAGAGTATGTGCTTAGAACTCAAGAAAGTATTTTCTATATGGCTGCAACATACAAATACATAATTTTGTGTTTCATGAAAGTTTTGGTCTGTGATGAATTAGAAAACCATAACTTAACAAACTCAAGACTATGGTCTTTCCAATAGTCACATACAGTTATGAGAGCTGGACCATAAAGAAGGCAGTGCCAAAGAATTGATGCTTTTGAACTGTGGTGCTGAAGAAGACTCTTGAGAGTCCCTTGGACAGTAAGGAGATCAAACCAGTCAATCTTAAAGGAAATCAACCCTGAATACTAATTGGAAGGACTAATGCTAAAGCTGAAGCTCCAATACTTTGGCCACCTGATGCAAAGAGCAGACTCATTGGAAAAGACCCTGATGCTGGGAAAGATTGAAGTCAGAAGGAGAAGAGGGTGACAGAATGAAATGGATGGATGGCATCACCAATGCAATGAACGTGAACTTGGGCAAGCTCTGGGAGAAGGTGAGGGACAGGGAAACCTGGTGTGCTGCAGTCCATGGGGCTGTGAAGAGTTGGACACAACTTGGCGACTGAACAGCAACAACAATTTAACAAAACGGATGCAATGAGAAAATCTAAACAGATCTATAGCCACTTATGAAAATGGATCAATGGATCAAAATCTAACTCCCTTAAAAATCCTCCAGTCTAAAATAGTTTATATGCATATTCTCCCAAATTTCCACTGAATGGATCATATCTATTTTATATTGTGTAAACTCTTCCAGAGATCAGAACAAGAAAAGTAACAACTCATTTTATGAAGTCAATGTAATCTCATGCCTAAACTATCATGGACCATTCATAGAAAGAAAACAATAGGCTGATCTTACTCATGACCATAGAAACAAAAATTCTAAATAAAATATTAGAAAATTAAACATGTAATATATGAAAATATATAAAATATATGAAAATCCTACATATATTGTGGTTAATTATTAAATTTTGAAATTATATTAACATGTTACAGCATTAACAGATGAAAGGTAAAAGTAATAAATGATTACTTTGATGGAAGAGAAGGAATTGCAGAAAAAACAAAAAACATGAAAAAAAAATTACTAACTCATTACAAGTTATTTTAAATTCATTACATCAACATTAAAAATAAAAGCATGCTCTAAAACGAGAAATGAGAAAGTTTTCTAGCTATCATTGTTTCTTTTCTCTTGGTGCAAACTGAAAGTGGGGGCGGGAACACAGCTATACTTACTAGAAAGGCATAACAAAACTTTCATCATTGATATGATTGTCCACACGGGATAGTCTGAAACTTATACAAATTATTGGAACAAATAAGGAATTTTGGATTTTATCAAGATACTGTATAGAATATGAAAATATCATTTTCTTTACTGTGAGCAACAAATAATTAAATAGTAAAAGATGCAATTTATATTAATAACTAAATTGATAAGCTGTCTAGAAATAAATCTTAACAAAAATGTTCAAATTTATAAAGAAAACATTTGTGAAAGTTTATTGAAAGATATAAATGAAGACCTTGTTAAAATCCATGTTTTTATGTATGAAAAGATTATAAAGACATCAATTTTCTCCAAATTAATTAATAAATTCAACATGATTGCAATCATATTCTCACCAGGATTTTCTGAAGAACTGGACAAGCTGATTTGCAATTTTATGGAAGAGTAAAAGGTCAACAAAAGCCAGGAAAATCTGGAAGAAAGAAAAGTAGGGGAAGGAAAAAAAGATAAAGATAAAAATTACTTATACTAAGACTTTTAACAAAACTATTGTAATTTTAAAAGTATAGTACTGGTTTAGAGATAGAAAAAGGGATCATTGAGAGCATGAAGACATTAAAAACATACCCTAGAATAAACTTGGGATATGACAGGCAATGTTATAAATCAGTGGGGAAAGTATAGAATTTTCAAAAAATCGTGTGGGCCAATTGATTACATATGGAAAAAAATAACATTAAACTACTTTTTCATGACATACAAATTCACATTCCCAAGTGGCTTAAAGACAAAAAAAAAAATTAGAAAAAACATGGAAGATGTATTTACTCAAAGACTTAGGTTCATGGGAGTAGAGGGTGTAATAAATATGTTAATAATTTAAAGAGAGAAAACATAGAAATAGAAGAAATTTCAGTATATAAACCTAGAGTTCTTTTTTTATAAAATCACAGAATACCAGTAAATTATAGAAAGATTAATACATCTAACTACTTTAGAAAACAAATTTAAACTACATTAAAAGTTATGAGAAACCATAAACAAAGTGAAAAGGAAAATCACTGGGAAAATCTATGGGAACCACATATAAACCCCAAATTTATAAAAAATCTCTACTGGGAATTCCCTGGCTCTCCAGTAGTTAAGACTTCACCTTCCAGTACAGGGGAATGATGGGTTTGATCCCTGTTCAAGGAACTAAGGTCTCACATTCCAACTGGCATGAGAAAAAATTTTTTTAGTAGGAATATAATTCTTGTAAATTCTTATAATACATCTTGATGAAAAATTAGAACTTAAATATTCAAATATATATATATATAAAGAACCTCTACAATAACAGTAGAAATGTGGCTAAGGGGCTTCCCAGGTGGTGCTAGTGGTAAAGAATCTGCCTAATAAAGCAGGAGACATAGGAAATGGGAGTTGGATCCCTGGGTCAGGAAGATGCCCTGGAGGAGAGCATGGCAACCCACTCCAGTATTCTTGCCTAGAGAATCCCATGGACAGAGGAGCCTATTGGGCTACAGTCCATAGGGTCACATAGAGTCGGATGTGACTGAAGCAATTTAGCATGCAGGCAGTGTAGCTAAAAACTTATGAAGAGGCAGTTGAAAAGCAAGAAACACACATGAGCAATTGCATATGAAAAATGAAAATACGCTCAACTTCACTAGTTGAGATCAAGTTTACTAGTTACCAGGAAATTGAAAAATGAAACAGTGAGCTGACATTTGAGGCTATCAGATTAGCAAAACATAACCTATTGACATCAAGTTTTGGTGAATACGTTACACATTTCTGGAGGGTTCGTAAATTAGTACAACCTCTTGGAGAACAATTTTGCCATCATTTGGTAAAGTTAACTGTGGTTCAGCAAATGTACTTCTAATTTATTGTTTACTTAAGTACTAGATACACATGCTAGAAACAATGTGCAAGCATGTTGATTGTATTCTTTGTGATAAAGTGGGGAAAATGCATGCCCTTGAATAGAAGGCTAGATTTAATTTATTTTTTTAATTTGAAGGAATATTAAATAATCTTAAGGCTAAATTTACCAGTACTTGAAATAATAAACTTCAAAAACATTAGTTTCAGTGCAAAAGTTAATCTTAAAAGATAACTGTATTATTCATGTAAGTTTAAAAAACACACAAGATCTTTTTATGTAAAATTTTATGAATAAAAACATGTGATAAAAGTCCTAAAAACCACCTGGGAACAATCCATGTCAACTTCAAGTGGTACCTCCTAGGTAGGGAAGGATGAAGATGGGGATTTACTGTATCTTAAAAGTTATGTTTCTTTCAGAAAACAAAATGGAATAAAACAGGTCTCTTTCAAATAATAGTAATACATAGAAATCTTGGATGATGACTACATGAGTGTCATATGATTCATTGTATAGTTTGGCTTTATTATTCATTTGAAACAGAATTATTCATTTGATTTTGGTTCTTAAAAAGGAAGAAACAGGGAGTGAAAAATCATTTACACTCAAGGACATAGCCCTCATCAGTTCTGCTGAGCCTGAACTGAGCTCAGGTTTTTCACCAGAGGACCAGCCTGAGCCTGGCCATTGGCTGATGATGTCTGTCAGGAAGCTGCATGGAGAAGGCCTACTGAGGGGACTACTGAACCCTCTGCCTCTGCCCCTGGCAGCTGAGCTCTGCCCTTCTCCTCTGGGGAGCTCTGGAAGGCCTGATACCAGAGTGAATGCTAGGACACGGTGGTGGCACAAAGATTTGTGGCCAGATACCAGGACACACAGGAAGTTACAAGAGAAAAGCATTCTGTTTCAACTCCACCCATTGACCTTTGGTGGGTGAGTTTTCAGTGAAACAGCAACATCTTCTGAATGCTCCGAGAGAAGGCTTTATAACCTGGGGGTAAGACGCAGTTTCTAAACACAATTGATGTGGCTTTCCTGCCTTCATTCAGGGTATCCATTTTCCACCACATAATCGTCCCATTGTCCACACTGATTCCTGTTTGCTTTGGCAGGGTTAACTGCTGGCAGGCCTCCTCCGTGCTGAGCTCCTTATCCTCCACTGTGCAGGGGTTACTGAAGCAAGAGCAAGCTTTCCCTCACTCCCCAGAACAGGAGCCAAGTGTGACACAAATTGTGAAACTTGTTCCTGGTTACCAGGAAAACTTAAAGAAATCCTAATGAAGCAAAAAGTTGACAAAAATCTTTCCAACGTTTGAACAAAAAATGTATTTTTCAGGTCTTAGGTTTATGGAAGTCAGTTCACCAAACCCAGCCAGACTTTCAAACCTCCTATTCTTTGCACTATGTTATTTAAATACACTGTAAATACCCTCAGTTGCTCTAATACCAGGTCCATATTGTGCAAGACTACCATGGTCTGAAGACCTTGTTGAATTTGAAAGAGGCAGAAGTTCCGTTTCTGGCGCATAAACTTGAATCAGGACTAGGATAAGAGTGCCAAAGAAGTCCACACTCTGACAGCTAGACAAGCAAGCCATTTATCTGGAAAGACTTTGAATCCCTTCCCAGAGCAAAATGCAGCCCTTTATACTCAGCAGGCTTGGAATAAAATTGTCTTAACTGACTTGATCAGTGTCCTGAATCTTAGGTTGTAGGAAAATGCATCTGATAACTTGGAAATGGAGAAAGGATGGAAAACTAGGTCCTGAAAAGATTATTTCCTCATGGGGGTTCCTGCCATATTTTCTAACTTGTGTGTTGGGTGAGGATTTATATTGTTTGTTGAAAGTACTATCTCTGTGACAAAACCTGAAGTTTGGGAGGAAAACATAAAAGGAATGAAGAAAAAATGGAAAATATGAAGCCTCCTGATAAAACTTATAAAACCCACATGCATCAGTCAAACAACCAGATTTACTGAATAAATATTGTATTTCACGTCCTGTAAATATATATTACCAAAATAAATATGACTAAGACACAGTCCTTGTCTTTGAAGAGTTGCGGGGAGAGTGGAGGTGCAGGCTAGATGATTAAGGAATAGTGATGATCCAATATGTGTGTATCCCAACAGGTGGTGAAGACACTTACTTGACTTTTTTGGCAGAAACTTGCAATAACAACAAAAAGTCACAAATTTAGTATGTGAATATCTTCCTATGTGTACTGTTGTTCAGTGTACAACTGAAATAGCTCGACATGGTGATCCAGCACCACAAGATGGAAAAGAAGCTGAATCAGAGGAAATCAGGCACAGCTTCTCTTGAAATGTCCCTGCATCAACCAAGCCTTGGTACTTGAATGCAGAAACCAGATCATCCTTTAAAATTTCTCCATGGAGCATCACTCCAGGGAGCCCATTTTCTTATTCTCCTATCTAACCCCCTTCGGAGGGGCTTTCCAGGTGGCGCTAGTGGTAAAGAACCTGGCTGCCAATGCAGGAGACATAAGAGAGGTGGATTCGATCCCTGGGTTGGGAAGATCCCCTGGAGGAGGACATTGGCAACCTACTCCAGTATTCTTGCCTGGAGAATCCCATGGACAGAGGAGCCTGGTGGGAAGCATATTGTACACTATGGCCATCAAACAAACCTATACATGTCTTAATTCAAATGTCTCATTCAAGTTCTCTCTTAAAGAGCTCTTGGGCTGGGAGCTCCCCAACTCCTGGGGGCTGGACTTCTAAGAAATCTGAGAGACCCAGCATGGTCCTAACTTCACAGCAGCCCTGTCAGGGTCTCATCTGGACCTATCCCCAGTTAATCTGTCATGCAAATTTACTGCTTTCAGTTAATAAATAGCCTAATAACTTCTCTTTCATTCTCCCTCCTCCCTCCACCCCCACTTCCCCCAAGCCTGTCCAGATCTGAAAGAACTCTTCTGGGTGACTTGAAAGTTCAAGTTGAGACACTGAATCAGAATGAATCCTTTCTCCTTTTCTCAGAGTTTTGTTGAAATGAATAAACTCTGCTACATAGGCATCAGGGCTAAGAGGCAGGTACAAAGATAGATAGAAATAGTCCCAGCCATCAAGCAGCAAATAAGAACACATCACATTTATAGCTTCCAAATTATTTTCATATGTATCAATATTTACAACTTTGAGAGGTCAGTATTATTCTATATATTTTTGTAGGTAAAGAGGCTGAAGCTCTGAGAGAGAAGTCCAAACTTGCACAAGTAGTATGTGTTGACGTGGGACCTACAACAGACTCCTCTGCTCTAAGTCTCATCTGTCTCTACAAGTGCTGGCTATGCCTCTAGTCCAGAGAGGAAAATAGCGTGATTTACATCACAGTAGTGGTGCAAACAGAGTTGTGGGCACAGGGGGAGAGGGATATATGTCCCAGAAGGCAAGGTGAGGTGGGGGTGCAGAATGGGAAACCTAAGGGAGCACAGATGGTATTTCCACTGGCAAGTTCACGTGAAAAGGCAAGTCAATATGAGGAATGCCCTAGGACAGCCATATATGAGAAGGGAGAATTTTAGGTCTGGTTGGAAAATGTCAAGTGAATAGTTGGGCACAGCTGGTTTAGATTCTGTGCAGGCTGCAGAGACAGGGAAGGAAGAATGAAGTAAGGGCAGTGGTCACAGGCCAGGCTGCTGAGTGCACCATGAGCTCAGTAGCACCAGGAGCCACAGGGGAGGGGCAGCTCAGATGTGGGCTTGGAAGGAGCGATGTTAATTCAAGAGTAGGGTGAAGAAGGGATTACCAGATGGGACAGAAGCTACTTCCAGATACTGTCAGGGCCATCTAAGAATGAGGGGGTCTCAGCAAGAGCTGTGCCAGTGGCACCAAATGGCAGTGAGTAGCATGCGATGACTCGAAATGCCCCCATCTGTTTTCTGAGGTTTTCAAGTCAGTTCAGTCGCTCAGTCATGTCTGACTGTTTGAGACCCCGTGGACTGCAGCACACCAGGCTTCCCTGTCCATCACCAACTCCCGGACTTTACTCAAACTCATGTCCATTGAGTTGGTGATGCCATCCAACCATCTCATCCTCCACTGTCCCTTTCTCCCCATGCCTTCAATCTTTCCCAGAATCAGGGTCTTTTCCAAGGAGTCGGTTCTTCACATCAGGTGGCCAGAGGATTGGAGTTTCAGCTTCAGTGTCAGTCCTTCCAATGAATATTTAGGATTGATTTTCTTTAGGATCTGAGGTTTTAAATGCACATAAACATATATATTAAGCAGTCCCTTAATTCTTTTTTAGTGGTGAATCCTATTTATCAGATATCCATTCTTGTGGAAGCCAATTCTATATATATTTTTAAAAAGCATATTAAAGCAGAGTTGCTCTGGCAACAGAGAGGTGCTTGGGAGCCCAGTGTACCAGCTTCCCCAGGTGCGCCTGGGCTTAGCTTGAAAATCGGGTCTCAGGTGGAGTTTAAGTGCTGCCTAAATGCACATTATCTCTTTGGACACATTGTCTCAGTTTTTGTTTCATTTTGTTTTTTTTGAAAATTGAACTTAGATTCTTTTATACTGTCTGTGACTGATCCTAACCAGATATTGCTCTGTAAGAGTTTTGAAATCTCAGGACTCAGGAAGATGCCTGGTCCCATTGAGGCAGATGTTGGTCTTAGCTTCATTTCCAGCCAGTCAGTCAATCACACTTCTACATGCTAGGGTGCAGCAGTGACCGTTGACAGTCAGTCTCAAGGAGTTTATAAACTAGTGGGGAGATACATAAGTTCACAAGAGCAAATAATACTTTTAGATATTTAATCAAGTGCTGTGAAAAAAATCAAAATGATATAATTGAGAACAAAGGAGACTGGGAAATCTGAAGAGATGGTGTTTAAACAGTGGTGTGAAAGACATGAAGGAGGAAGTCCCATGTAGACCTGAGAGGTGCATTTTAAACAGCAGGTCCAGCAGGTGCCAAGCCGATTAGCCTAGAATTACTTGGTATGTTGAATATCTCTGTGGCCTTACAAAACCTTTGTGGTTGGATAGTGCCTAGTGAGTAGGAAACAAGTAACATATGGGGTTCTCCTTTGGCAGGAGCAGAACAGCAGATCTTATTTCATTCTAAGTATTCTAGGAGGCTGTCAGGGCATGAATATTCTGGTGTGCATTGTTACCCAGGCTGCTGGAAAATTCAGCAATGGACTTTGAAGGAACTAGAGTGGAAGGAGAGAAGCCAGTTCAGCAAGAGAGGATGCTGTAGGCATCAGAACTTACTAGTCAACAGAACTGACTGGTGAATTTCAGTGGGATGTTATAAATCAAGAGTAATCCATAAGAACCCTATGTTTTTTCTTAAGGAACTTGGTAGACCGTGGTGCCCTTTACAGAGTTGAAGAGGACCTGGGGTAGAAGTTGATTTAGCCTATGGCATGGGTTGGAGAGTGTATAGGAATCAATAGTTCTGCTTTGGCTCCTGAGTAGCAGAGATTCAAGAAGAGGTGTTGAGGAGGCAGTTGGAGGCTGGTGCTCAGCGTAAAGCTGGGCTGGAGATACTGATTTTTAGACTTAAAAGATCAATCACTAGTAGTATCAGTGTGGAAAAGTTGGCTTAAAACTCAACATTCAGAAAACTAAAATCCTGGCATCCAGTCCCATCACTTCATGGCAAATAGATAGGTAAACAGTGGAAACAGTGACAGACTTTATTTTGCGGGCCTCCAAAATCACTGCAGATGGTGACTGCAGCCATGAAATTAAAAGATGCTTGCTCCTTGGAAGAAAAGTTATGGCCAACATAGACAGCTTATTAAAAAGCAGAGACATTACTTTGCCAACAAAGGTCCGTCTAGTCAAAGCTATGGTTTTTTCAGTAGTCATGTGTGGATGTGAGAGCTGGACTATAAAGAAAGTTGAGCGCCAGAGAATTGATGCTTTTGAACTGTGGTGTTGGAGAAGACTCTTGAGAGTCCCTTGGACTGCAAGGAGATCCAATCAGTCCATCCTAAAGGAAATCAGTCCTGAATATTCATTGGAAGGAGTGATGCTGAAGTTGAAACTCCAATACTTTGGCCACCTAATGCGAAGAGCTGACTCATTGGAAAAGACCCTGATGCTGGGAAAGATTGAGGGCAGGAGGAGAAGGGGACGACAGAGGATGAGATGGTTGTATGGCATCATCGACTCAATGGACAGGAGTTTCAGTAAACTCCAGGAGTTGGTGATGGACAGGGTAGCCTGGTGTGCTGCAGCCCACAGGGTTGCACATAGTTGGACATGACTGGGCAACTAAAATGAACTGATGAGT